GTTTCTTTTGAGTCTGAACGAGATCGAGAGATCTTCTCGTTCGTGAACATAATGACTGAACTGGTACATGTCGTTCGTGAACGAGTTGAATGAACTGCTACATCTCGTTCATGAATGAAATGACCGAACTGGTACATATCTCGTTCGTGAACGAAATGAATGAGAGTGTACCTGCTCAGTCGGTCATTTAGCATGTCAATCTCGATCAGCAATCAGCAGAAAGCAGATGCAAAGCGCAGTTATAGGTACTGTGCACATATGCTTGTTTATATAGTCATATTTAGCATACAGAACATAACTCCATGTTTAATCCCCGATTTATGAATGTGTAATTGTCTGACCAAACAATTCAAATGTTAATTATGCAAGAAAACCTTGTGCTTTGGTCATCTGAACAACTTATTTAGACTTTATTTATTTAATGAGTAGATTATGCACACATTTTAATAAAGCCAAATCAGGTTTTGTAACAAGTGAATACGTTCGTTAACTTAAGACAACACATAAGACACTCTTTTTTGTCACCTGCTGGCGTAATTATGTAATATGAAGAAATGGTCACTGAACGAATCAGTGAACGAATCTGACTAAATCATTTTGGTGAACGAACTGAAAATGAACAAATCTCTTGAAAGAATCAATTTCCATCACTACTGTTTACTGTTTTATTTCTTTTCTTTTTCTGCTGATGGCCCGTGCCCCCCTGCAATACTCGTGCGCCCCCCCTGGTGGGCACGCCCCACACTTTGAAAACCACTGCTTTAGACAGACTTTAGATAAATAAATAAGAATATTACCTTATTATATATATTATTTTAAGGTCGAAGTCTATGGTATTACATCTCTGAAACAATTCTGCGCGCAAAAGATCCTATTTTGAGCACACAAAAGAGCGTTTTGTGGAGAAAATGTTTGTCTCGCAAAGAAGAAAGTATTTTGAGAGCACGAAAATCAATTTTGCATTTAAAATAAGTTTTTGGATGTGTGCAGACCTTCTCTTTTGCGCATGCAACGTTTCACTAGCTTGCTCACCTGATGCCCTCCCTCAGTGCTCTCTCAATGCCAACGGCTCGCTTGCTCAACACAACCCAGCGTTACAATATTCCATAATTCCAGCCAATCAGAGACGAGGCTGCTAAATTCTGATTGGCTGCCTTGACAACCATTCACAACATTTTTTGCATTACCAGGACAGCAGAAGAGGAAAAATACTATCAAAAAGTTGATATTCTGATTATATTTTTTTCCAAGCACCCAAGCACATTTCCAAAAAGCATCAATCTTAATAACTACTATTAATCTTGTATTTAATCATTTATAATTGATATATAATTATATAATTATGCTGGAAGTGAAAAATGTCTTATATTCAGGTGTGCATAATTATTAAGCAGTTACTGTGTTATTTCTGTTTCAAAAGCCAGCAATAAATAACACTTTAATAACTAAAGAGTGTTCATGTGATTTTATGCATTAGTAATGTTGGGAAATGAATAAATGCATAATAATCGTCATAATCGTGAAACCGTGATTATTCCTCAGACAATAATCGTACCAACAAAATCTATAATCGTTGCATCCCTATTTACTAGTGATGTTTCGTTCGTGAATGAATCATTCTTTTTGAACAAATTTTTTAGGTGAACGAATCGTTCTCGTAATCCATTGACTCATATTTCTCATTCATTGAAATTCCTCCTTCCAGAGTAGCGCGGCGCTATTGGCAGCGCATGCGCAGATCAGTGAACCGGGTAGCTCTGTGGACTGTTTCATCCTGTCAAAGAATGACTAAACCTCGAGCCAATAGCCTTCGAGTTTGAGATGTGACGGAGCATGTGATTTGTTGATTGTAGTGAACGAATACACCCTTCACTGAACGAGTTTCTTTTGAGTCTGAACGAGATCGAGAGATCTTCTCGTTCGTGAACATAATGACTGAACTGGTACATGTCGTTCGTGAACGAGTTGAATGAACTGCTACATCTCGTTCATGAATGAAATGACCGAACTGGTACATATCTCGTTCGTGAACGAAATGAATGAGAGTGTACCTGCTCAGTCGGTCATTTAGCATGTCAATCTCGATCAGCAATCAGCAGAAAGCAGATGCAAAGCGCAGTTATAGGTACTGTGCACATATGCTTGTTTATATAGTCATATTTAGCATACAGAACATAACTCCATGTTTAATCCCCGATTTATGAATGTGTAATTGTCTGACCAAACAATTCAAATGTTAATTATGCAAGAAAACCTTGTGCTTTGGTCATCTGAACAACTTATTTAGACTTTATTTATTTAATGAGTAGATTATGCACACATTTTAATAAAGCCAAATCAGGTTTTGTAACAAGTGAATACGTTCGTTAACTTAAGACAACACATAAGACACTCTTTTTTGTCACCTGCTGGCGTAATTATGTAATATGAAGAAATGGTCACTGAACGAATCAGTGAACGAATCTGACTAAATCATTTTGGTGAACGAACTGAAAATGAACAAATCTCTTGAAAGAATCAATTTCCATCACTGCTGTTTACTGTTTTATTTCTTTTCTTTTTCTGCTGATGGCCCGTGCCCCCCTGCAATACTCGTGCGCCCCCCCTGGTGGGCACGCCCCACACTTTGAAAACCACTGCTTTAGACAGACTTTAGATAAATAAATAAGAATATTACCTTATTATATATATTATTTTAAGGTCGAAGTCTATGGTATTACATCTCTGAAACAATTCTGCGCGCAAAAGATCCTATTTTGAGCACACAAAAGAGCGTTTTGTGGAGAAAATGTTTGTCTCGCAAAGAAGAAAGTATTTTGAGAGCACGAAAATCAATTTTGCATTTAAAATAAGTTTTTGGATGTGTGCAGACCTTCTCTTTTGCGCATGCAACGTTTCACTAGCTTGCTCACCTGATGCCCTCCCTCAGTGCTCTCTCAATGCCAACGGCTCGCTTGCTCAACACAACCCAGCGTTACAATATTCCATAATTCCAGCCAATCAGAGACGAGGCTGCTAAATTCTGATTGGCTGCCTTGACAACCATTCACAACATTTTTTGCATTACCAGGACAGCAGAAGAGGAAAAATACTATCAAAAAGTTGATATTCTGATTATATTTTTTTCCAAGCACATTTTACCAATTCCAAAAAGCATCAATCTTAATAACTACTATTAATCTTGTATTTAATCATTTATAATTGATATATAATTATTCATGAAGGCTGGAAGTGAAAAATGTCTGATATTCAGGTGTGCATAATTATTAAGCAGATTTTCTTTTACATATAAAATGAGCCAAAAAAGAGATTTAACTCAGACTGAAAGTCAAAAATTATTAAATGCCCATGAGAAATATTAAAAACTAATACAATATTAGAAATTGCAAAGTTAATGCATAACCATTGGACAGCAAAATGCTCAGTGGGTCAGCAGGGTCAGTCAAAAACATGTAGAGAAGAAAAGACGCATGTTAACTGCAAAAGAATTTGGAATTAATGTGAAGAATTAGGTCTGAAATCACCAGGAACCATTTAGTCTCCAGTGCCACCATTTTCCAGAAACAGATAACCTGCTTAATAATTATGCACACCTGAATATAAGGCGTTTTTCACTTCCAGCCTTCACGAACAATAATATATAGATTATAAGTGATTAAATACAAGATTATTAAGATTGATGTTGTTTGGAATTGTTAAAATGTGCTTATGGTATGGCTTGTGGTAAAAAATATACTTAGAATATCAACTTGCATAATAATTATGCATGCACTGTATTTTTCCTCTTCTGCTGTGGAGGTAATGCAAGAAATGTTGTGAATGGTTGTCAAGGCAGCCAATCAGAATTTAGCAGCCTCGTCTCTGATTGGCTGGAATTAGGGAATATTGTAACGCTGGGTTGTGTTGAGCAAGCGAGCCGTTGGCATTGAGAAAGCACTGAGGGCAGGCATCAGGTGAGCAAGCTAGTGAAACCTTGCACGAGCAAAAGAGAAGGTCTGCACACATCCAAAAACTTATTTTAAATGCAAAATTGATTTTCGTGCCCTCAAAATACTTTATTCTTTGCGAAACGAACATTTTCTCCACAAAACTCAGATCGCGCGTGTTTCGAGGGGGGTCCACCAGTTTTTTTTTTTGGAGGGGTTCCCTAAACTGCGACTTGGCAACACTGTAGCGTGCCAACTTGATGCTTCCTCTGAAGACTGCTTAGATGTGTTTGACTTGAAGCAGCGCTGCTTAGAGGCTTATCGGTGTGTGCCATCAAAGTACTGCGAGAGCTATAAGAGAGCGTGGACGTTTCCTTATGCTTTCTCTCGTTGTACTTTGATGTCATACACCGATCGGTCTTCAAGTCGAACACACGTCATTACTCTCGCGTGTCACGTGACCGAGTGTAATCGCAGCCTCTGCGATTGAAAAATCGCGTTTTTTCATATCGCGATATAATCACAAATGCAATTAATCGTTCAGCCCTAAGTGTAATGCACACATGACTGACAGACATATCTATATATGTAAATACAGCAGTTCATGTGTTATTCTTACCCTGTCCGGGGGAGTGGCGCAGGCAAGACTAGGCTGGACCAGGTCTGGGTGAGAGGGCTGAAAGGTGTGTGTGTGTGTTTATGTGTGTGTGTATTTCAAAGTAGCCAACTTAAGAGAGAGTAGGGTTATAGCTGCCTTACTCAGGGCGTGTGTGCAGGAGAGCAGAAATACAAAAGGTCAGACACGGTAAGAGCTCTCATTCACAGCCGATGAAAACAAACAAATAAAAACAAATGGGAAACAAAAAAAAAAGAAATCAAACCCCCCTAAAATGAGTAATACCTGTTGGACTGCGAAAACTGCAGAGCTTTGATACTGACGTCTTAAATCGATCGACTACAGGAAACAAACAAAACAGTCAAAGAGACAAAAAAAAAAAAAAAGAGACGAACTTGTTGATAATACAGCTGCCAGAAGCAGTTATGACCCCAATAAGCTTCTCTCTTAAGCTTCTCTATTTGTGTGTGTCTTTTTAACTCTTTCTGTTGTACTGGCAATGCTGCATGGACCAGGTCCCAGCTGGTGACCCCCTCCTCACGCCGACAATCCCTCTCCCTCCTTTATCTGCAGGAGAAAACAAGAAATGACCACATAAAACTATAAAATAGTGTGGACTTAATGCAAGCGCTATAACTGAAACCATTAAAACCCAGAAAAGGCGCACTAGTGTTATTTCAGTATTATATATATATAATATGATATATATATATACACACATCTCATTTGTAAATCGCTTTGGATAAAAGAGTCTGCTAAATGACTAAATATATATATATAGCCCTTTATAAATGTTATTGATATTATGAATTTATTTTTATATTTTCAGTTTTCAATTTAATTTCAGTTACTTTTTTAGTAATGTTGTTATGTGATTTAGTCATGTTTACTTTTTGTTTAATATCAACATATTTAATTTTTTTTTATTGCCAGTTAGTCATTGCTTCGAATAAAATGAAAATAATGAAAATTTTAAAATGAAAATAAGAAATGCTAAATAGAATGAGTTTAAGGTTTTTATTTTATTTCAGCTTTGCTTCAATGAACAAAAATGTTTTACTAGTTTTAGTTCTAGCTTTAGTTAACTATAACAATCCTGCAGCGCACATTGCCCGACATGCTCCTGTAACAGTATCCTATCAACTTAAAGGCCAAGCGTACATGAAAATAACCTCTCTCCTTTTTAAAATATCCTGAAAGATATTTTCTTTAAGAAAAGAGACCACAAACAAACCATGCCTTAGGAAAAACACCGTAAAAAATGATCATTTGTGGCAAAGTTTACCAGAACACTATATTTTGGAAAGGGCAAGTGTGCACAACGTGTGTTTTGCAGATAGATTGAAGCGAAAATCTTTCTAGATTGGCATCTGCACTGCACAACTAGAAGAGTTACTGCAATCAGGATAGCATGGGAGATGGAAAAGAAACTCAGGGGTTTAATCAACAGCACCCACAGATGTCATTGCAACAGAAATATCTAAGCAACAGAACAAACCGTTGAGAATAAATAGTATTCACTGGGGGAGCCTGGCTCTTTAACATGAAGTACTACATTAGAATCTGTCATCTCAAGAGCAATTAAAGACACCTGTAACTTCAAAAGCACTTAGAGATGCATCAGTATGCCTGAGAGAGCTCATAATTCATCACAGGACTTAAGCATTTGCACTCATGTGAACAGCTGCCAAATAACAGCAAACCGCTCAAGTATGAAGAGATGAAATGGTTCAAATAATTGGTTAAAAAATGATTCAGCAATACTTTTTATTAGGGATGCACGATATATCGGCCACCATATCGGTATCGGCCCATATCGGCTCATTTTTTCTGTTATCGGTATCGGCCTGATAAGAAAATTTGGCCGATATCTTAAAGCCGATAAATAATGCATTATTTCCTTCAGAGACACTTCAGATGCGCGCTGTTCGTTTGCAGCCTTTTGTGCAATTGTACATTGTAATATTGTGTTTATTTGATGTATATCTGATTTATCTCATATAGAATGCGTTTGGTTAAGTTAAAAGAGCGCTTCAGTTTACCGGTGATCATCTTTAGCTCAGCACACGCAGCTCAAACAGCAGTGCACAACATTAATAACCATGATTGGGAATGTCGTGTATATAACATTCTAATGAGAACATTATTATAATAAAACGTTGTGAATTCTTTGGGTTTAGTTGCCGTGTTTCAGCGCGTTGTTATGGGAAGAGCACATCCACAACAGGATCACACATTCTGACAATAGCATGCAATAACTGCGTCATTTTGTACATATATAAGTTGTAATATTATGTTTATGTTGTATTAATATTAATCTCAGGATGCATTTCCTTGAGTTAAATAAGCTGCCAGCAAAACGCTTCAGTTTACCATGTTCATTCAGCTCTTCAGCTTCAGCACGCGCAGCTCAACGGCTGCTATTTAAAACAGTGGTATTAATTTGTTACTTTTTCAAAATCATTGATATATTATTAATAACAACAACCACTTGTATTTTTCTCTTATTATTTTCATCAACAATATGGTTTAGTAATTAAAATAATTTAATTATTGTCCGTGCAGAGGCTATTCCGTTTTATTGATCTATGGCAAGAATTTTGATTCTTTACACGTGTAATGATGTCCAGTGACTTGTTTGCATTATTTATGCATAATTTTATTTATTTGTAAGACTTTTTTATGACTAAATTTGGTAATGGGAGAGTAAAAATATTTTTAAAACGTACACCGTTCAAACTAGGCTGCTTATGTTGAAGTGTTTGGGATGTGGCTTTTAATGATGAGACCTTTTTTGTAATCAGGCTCTCAAAAAGTATATAACAATTTGGATATAGATTTATCGGCCAACATATCGGTTATCGGCTTTCAAAAATAAAGAATAATCGGTTATCGGTATCGGCCAAAATTTTCATATCGGTGCATCCCTAGGTCATCAGGTGATCCCCGACAAACACTGAATGCACTAATAAAGCCATACACAATCACAAATGCATGTTTACTTTATTAATAATGATACTAATATGCAAGTTCCACTAATAAGGGCGTTTATTGTAATTTCATGTACCATGGTTTAGTTGGTTGTAGTCTTGATTCAGTTCACAAAGTCAATACAATTTGTGTGTACATTAATTGACATATCTTAGTTTTAAAATGCTTTGACTAGTGCACATATGTGAGCATGGCGCACAAAACCAGTCTTAAGTAGCACGGGTATATTTGTAGCAATAGCCAACAATAGGCTACATTGTATGGGTCAAAATGATAGATTTTTCCTTTGTGCCAAAAAAAATCATTTGGATATTAAGTTCCGTGTTCCGTGAAGATATTTAGTCAATTTCCTACCGTAAATATATCAAAACTTATTTTTCGATTAGTAATATGCATTGCTAAGAACTTAATTTGGACAACTTTAAAGGCGATTCTCTCAATATTTCGATTTTTTTGCACCCTCAGGCAATTTTTCAAATAGTTGTATCTCAGCCAAATATTGTCCTAACAAACCATACATCAATGGAAAGCTTAATTATTCAGCTTTCAGATGCAGTATAAATAAAAATAGTTATGACTGGTTTTGTGGTCCAGGGTCTCATATTTCCACTACTTTTTATTCGAAACAATCACGCTATTCAGTTAAGTATTTTTAAAGTAACTTGACTACTCAACATACTCGAGTAAAATTCTCGATTCACTCCAAATGCTCATATGATTCTCGACTCGTTACGAATCTGACAGTTTGCGATTCAGTGAGTCAGTGAGCTGACGACTCGACAACCGTTCAGACGGAGTCAGTCCGGTTCATGAACCGATCCCATTTGTGAATCGGTTCAATCGATTCACTGAAAAGATCCGACTCAAAAGAACGAGTCGTTCCAGAATGGGACACAACTGCAAAGTACTCGCCATTAGGGCCATTTCTATTCGATGTGACGCAAACGTAATCCCAGAAACATACATTTGGCAACATACGCAAAATGTCCGCGTTCAATATTTATCGCGTGGAATGAAAACAAGCATTGAAGCAGCTCGGTGTTGTTTTAATATTGATTGGTTGAGTTTTGAGGGGCGTCGCGTGCACAGGGAGGGGGGAGTGTGCATGCATTGCCTGCACACTCCCCTGCGCACACGGCGCCCCTCCAAACTCCACTCCGCGGCTTCCTTTGGCCTTCAACCCACGGCCACAGCTGCCTTAGCAAACATACAAAACGCCTCGCAATTTAAAACAGCACTATTTATTCCCACAGACGCAAGCGCTGGCCAGTTAAAGCTCTGTTCGCACACACGCTGCCCGTCCCCTTCCAAGTTTGCATAAAACTTAATGCAACACCCATCTGCCATTAACGCTTCAGACGTTCAAGGAGAGAGAGGCACACAGTTGCTGACCGTATTTGTTACTGTCCAGTCGCCCCGTCGAACTCGACGATCTTCACTCTGGATGCATGTGCAGCTGTTTGTGTTCTGTGCTCCTCCTCGAGAATCGTGGTCCGTGTTTACAGTTGTTTGCTCTCTCTCCCTCTCCAATGATCGTTGCGTGTTGATGTCTAGTACGCTCTTGTTGTTTGTGTTTTAGGGAAGATGGCCGTCCTACTCGGGCATACCACGTGACCAGAGTGTCGCGTTGCTTTTAGAGGCGCGTGAAGATAGCGCCCCCTATCGAAAGATTCGGAACGACTGCTGGAAGTGTATTTGTACAAAATAAAAGCCACAGTGGCTAAGTGTGTGTGGACCGAAACAATCATTTAAAATAAAGAAATACATACACAAACAAGCAAAAACACATTTAAGTAAATGCTCATAGTAATTGTGCATGGTGACAGTTTTTTTTGTATTTATTTGTTTAACTATGAGTCACTTTAAACACTTTCCACACTCTCGCTGGTTTATTTAATTGACAGTGTTCATCAGTGGGCAATTCTGTTATTTATTTTATTTTTATTTTTTTTTACAAAATGTCAAAATTTTAATAGACTATCACATGTGGTGGAAAAGAAACATTTCAAACATTTTTTTTAAATAAATAGCTGACTCCTTTATCTAGCTAAGACTAACTTTACAGCATTGTGCTTAGCCTAAATACAGACAGTTCATTAACATGTTCACACTCTTTACACCCTTTTTCAGTTCATAACAGCTCTTCATTTAGACATCTTGGTAAACAGGTGCACTTCTTCTTTTATTAAGTGCAAAATTATTGCTCCAAGTTATTTAGGGCTCCAATTGATGTGTGTGTATATGTGTGTGTGTGTGTGTGTAGTATATATGTGTATATATATATATATACACACCTTGCTACGTGTACTGCGTTAGGCTAACCGAGACTTGTCATTTGCACTTATA